TTCAAGTTCAAGATTGGGTGTGAAACACTGTCAGTAATGGGGTATTTTGGGCTGAGAAAGATAAAGATAAGCCTTTCAAGACATGAAGAACAATTAACTCAAAAGTATTTCAAGAATCAAATATCAATTCTCTAGAAAATGAACATTTGAATGACCTTGGCCTACCCAAACTCAGTTTTTTCTAAAAACTCGTTACAGTTGCGATCTTGTCACACGTGATTTCATATAACCAATCTTTGCCCCATATATGTGACTAATGAGAACTTACCCCCTAAAAGTCATCTTTCTTAATTCTGGTGATGATTCGTCTATTTGGTGCTACTCATTCATTCTTTGAAAGACTTTCTCCTATCTCCATCTTCATTCAAGCCATCTTTTCAGGTTTTTAGCTTAAATGACCCCATTTTGGTTCAAACCGTCCTTTTTGGGTTTTTAGTCTAAATCCCTTCCCTTTTTTTTTTTTACTTTTTTTAAGAAAAATATTTCTTGATAGTGTCTGAATTTACAAGATTTGGTAATTCATCACCATCTATTTTTGCAAGAATTAGAGCTCCACCAGAAAAGGCCTTTTTTACCACATATGGACCTCTCCAATCAGGCGTCCATTTTCCTCTATTGTCATGCTAATATGGCAAAATCCTTTTCAAAACCAATTTGCCTTCACGAAAGCATCGAGGTTATATCTTCTTGTCATGTGCTTGCATGATTCTTTTTTGGTACATTTGCCCATGGCTAAGTGCCGAGAGCCTTTTCTCTTTAATAAGATTTAGTTGCTCGAAATGATCCTGTACCCAATCGGCTTTATCTAATTTTGGTTCCATCAAGACTCTTAAAAAAGGAATTTCCACTTCAATTGGTAGTACAACCTTCATTCCATATACTAGCAAAAATGGGGTGGTCTTCGTAGAAGTTCAAATTGATGTTCTATAGGCAAGTAGAGCAAAAGTTAACTTTTCATGCCAGTCCTTATATGTGTCAGTCATTTTCTCCAATATTCTCTTGATGTTCTTATTCGTAGCTTCCACCGCACCATTCATTTTTGGGTGATATCGTGCTGAATGATGATGCTTGATCTTGAATTGTGTACACAGTTCTTTCATCATTTTATTGTTTAAATTGCTAGCGTTATCTGAGATGATCCTTTTCGAGAGCCCATACCGACATATTATCTCTCTTTTTATAAATTTACACACCACTGTTCGTGTAATACTAGCATATGAAGCTACTTCTACCTATTTTGTAAAGTAATCGATTATCACAAAGATAAATCAATACCCATTTGAAGGTTTTGGGGTTATGGGTCCTATCACATCCATTTCTCATATGGAGAAAAGCCATGGTGGTGCCAAGACGTGTAGCAGAACTAGAGGGGAGTGAATTTTATCTACATAAATTTAGCATTTATGGCACTTTCTAGCATAACTTATGCAATATTTTTCCATTGTAGACCAGTAATAACCAGCTCTCATAATCTGTCTAGCCATCAAATGCTCGTTAGCATGTGTTCCATAAATTCCTTCGTGTACTTTTTCAAGTATCCTTCTTACTTCTATAGCATCGATGCATCTTAGCAAAATCTGGTCGACTTTTTTTATACATGATTTCTCCATTAAGCGCAAAACCTACTGCTAATCTTCGAATGATCCTCTTATCATTTTTTGAGGTCTACTTTGGGTAGTTTTAACACTTGATATATTATACAATGTCATAGTACCACGGTTGTGGATCTACTTCTTTTTTTCACATTTGAAAAATGGGCTGGTGAAATTTCATTTGTACTTTGATGGGCTGAATTTTGGTACTATTATTTAACTTGAACATTGCTGCCAAAGTAGCCAAGGCATCAGCAATTTGGTTTTCTTATCGGGGAACATGCTGAAATTGGATCTATTTAAAGTGTTTCATCAAGTCAATTATGTGCTTTTGATGTAACACTAGTTTTGAATCTTTGGTCTCCTATTCACCTTTTAGTTGATAAATTACCAAGGCTAAATCCCCATATACTTCTAGTGTTTCAATCTTCTTTTCAATGGCCATTTGTAACCCCATGACACATGCTTCATATTCAGCAACATTATTTGTGCAACTGAAATCTAACCTTGTAGTACAAGGGTAATAATTCTCTTTTGGGGATATTAGCACTACCCCAATGCCATGCCCTATTATATTGGATGCTCTATCAAAAAACATTTTCCACATTTTTATTACAAGCTCTTCATCTTCATCCTGCAAGATCGCCATCAAATCTTCATCTAGAAACTCAAACTTCATAAGCTTGTAATCTTTTATAGCTCGATCCGTAAGAAACTCAGCTATTACACTTTTTTTTATGGACTTTTGTGTCACATACACAATATCATACTCTGAGACCTGCCATCTCACTATCCTGCCTAATAGAGATGGTTTCTCAAAAATGTACTTGAGGGGATCCCATTTTGATATCAACCAAGTTGTATGATAGAGCATATACTACTTGAGTCTACGAGTAGTCTAAGCTAAGGCACAACATATTTTTTCTATTTGGGGATACTTGGCTTCATACTCTATAAACTTTTTACTAAAATAGTAAATGACATGCTTTTTCTTACTAGTTTCATCTCTTTGCCCCAATACACATCCCATTGATTTTTCTTGAACCGTTAGATAAAAAATTAATGGCTTTCCTGCAACTTATGGTATGAACACTGGTGGACTTGCCAAATACTCTTTAATCTTTCAAAGGCATTTTGGCATTCTTCATCCCATTTACCAAGATTATTTTTATGAAGTAACCTAAAACTTAAATCGTATTTCGAGGTAAGTTGAGATATGAAATGAGAAATATAATTCAATTACCCCAAAAAGCCTCCTACATCTTTCTGCATGTGCGGCATTGACAACTTTTGAATAGCTCGAATCTTATCAGGCTCTACTTCTATACCTTTTTCACTTACTATGAACTCTAAAAGCTTTTTAGATTTAACACCAAAGGTGCATTTGGCTGGATTCAACTTGAGCCGGTATCTCCGTAATCTTTCAAATAGCTTTCTGAGATTAACAACATGATCTTGACCTTCTTAAGACTTAGCTATCATATCATTAATATATACTTCTATCTCCTTGTGCATCATATCATGAAAAAGAGTGACCATCGCTCTTTGATATGTGGCACCAGCATTTTTTAGCTTGAAAGGCATGACTTTATGCAAAATGTGCCCCAAATTGTCACAAATGTGGTTTTCTCCATATCTTTATGAGCCATTTTGATTTGGTTATAGCCAGAAAAAACCATCCATTAATGAAAAAGTAGAGTGCTTAGCAGTGTTATCCATAAGGGTATGAATATGTGGCAATGAAAAATTATCCTTTGGGCTACCCCTATTCAAATCTCGATAGTCCACACATATTCTAACTTTTTCATCTTTCTTAGGAACTAGGACTATATTGGCTACCCATTCAGGGTACTTGGCTACCCATTCAGGGTACTTGGCTACTTCCCAAAAAACTAGCATCAAATTGCTTCTTTACTTTCTCTTTTATCTTTAGTAACATTTTTGGCTTTATGCGTCTCAACTTTTGTTGTACCGGTCGACACTCTGGTTTTAAGGGCAATCTATGCTCAACCATCTCTGTGCTAAATTTGAGCATATCTTGATAGGACCATGCAAATACATCCACATATTCTTGCAGTAACTTCACCAGTTTTTTATTTCTCGATCTGTGATAATAAAGTACCAATCCTAACTTTTTTTTTATTCTCATTGTCTCCCAAATTTAACATGTCAGTCAATTCTTGATGGGGTTCTATAATTTTCTCCTCTTACTCCATCTATTTCAATAGATCATGAGGTAAATCATAGTCTTCTGAATCAACATCATTATTAAGCTCGCTAATATGAATTGAATTTTCAAAATCAAACCTG